CTAATATCTCACCGAAAACCCCTATGACAAAACCCTCAAGTATTCGTAAACAAAAAAATTCATAAAATTCTCATTCTTTTTTCAAAAAGCTTAATACCTGGAGTTGGGGAAACGAAATCATCATCATCGTCTAGATTTAAAGCATTTTTTGTCGTGTTCGTGAACTTAGACTTGAATGAAGTCGACCTTGTTGCTCTCATTCTTCTAGAAACTGTATCACAAACAAACCCTGTCGATCGTTTTTGAAAAATCAAGTTTCATATAAAAAAGGATTAACAAATGTAATACCTTTTACGAAATTGGTTCTTCTTTCTTGAGTATAATCAATCGTAAGAAACTTTGAGCTATGATAAAGACTGAAGGTAACTTCTGCTTCCGGTAATTTGGGGATTCTCAAAATCTGTTACAAAACAATCCATATATTTTCTAATTAGATGGAATGGTATCCGGAATGGTATCTGTTTTTATTTAATAAATTGTTTAAAATTAATATCTTTTTTTTAAAGTAGAAACAATTACTTTAATATAAAAAAAACACTTGTCACACAAACTATCCTTACATCCACACAATACTTAGAGTCCACATTATAACCTAAGTCTCTTTCTTTCTCTCTCTCTCTCTCTCTCTCTCTCTCTATATATATATATATATATATATATATATATATATATATATATAAAATTTTCGGGGGCTATAAAAAAGTTAAATTTTATTATATATGTTATTTAAATCTTTTTGTTATACTTTTCTTGGTTTCCCTACCAAACCCATGCTACACTTTGCATCTTTCAGTGGGATCTATCATAGTTATCAAAATCGCGATCCTGGTCGTAGGATCGTACGATCCTACGATTCTAGGTATGAAAAACGATCCGGATCGTAAAAGGATCGTATTTGGGGTAGGATCGCAGGTAAAATCGTAGGATCGAGATCCGATCCGATCCTACCTTCCTTTGTTTTTTTTTTTTTTTTTTTTTCCGCAAATGAATTTTTTTTTACTACTTTATGCCTTTTATCTTTTACCAATCTACCATTTATCATTTTTTATTGTGACTTATGACTAATATTTTGAAGTTTTTATAACTTTTGAATGAAAAACTAAATGTTTGAAATAGTTTTCATGATTAAATATTATAAATTAAAATTATATTCTATTTTGTGGGATCTTAGGATCTCGATCCCGATCTTGCAAACCCAAAATCGATCTTAGGTAGGATCCCGATCTTGACAACCTTGGGATCTATGCATTTTATAATCCTTTAAAAGTTTGTCACAGTTTTCTCATTTCTTTTCTGCATCTCGAGACAGCAGCCTGTTATTGACAAAAGAAAAAAATATTCAATTATTTAATTGGAGTATATGCTTTCTCTAAATAGTTTTAGAAATCTATTTTCCAAAACATTATTTAGTAACCAGACGTTTTCTTTAATGATTGTTCTTGAGTTTGGAAAATCATTTGGGAATATTGTCAGGAAAACAAAGTTGGTTTAGTTATTATATACGTATTTTTATATTTTTTGTATTTTTTAAAATTGTAATAAGCGGTTCTTATGATTTTTAATCATTTTTTCTAAATCTTAAAAAATGAAATAAAACAATCACAGCTGGGGCCTGGGGTCAACCATAAGGTCAAAATAAGCATGCCAATCAATCTCCACTATATAATAACACTTGAGCTTGAGCCACTGAAAGCCAAATAAAGCAGATCACTCAGTCTCCTCTTCTCAATAGAATAAATCTTGAGCTTCATCATCTTCCTCTGAAGCTATATCTTTCTCGTCTGTAACAAATGTCGATTCCTGCAAAAAGGTTAGTTTATTAGTGACTGTTTATTCAAATACTTGATTTTATTCATAGATGTTATTGTTTAGGTAAACTACAAAAAATACCCTGTTACCATATATTTTTATGGGTTAATTTACAAAATTTACATCGAGTACTCTCACTTTATCGTTTATATCCCAAATTTTTTATTCTACTGAATAAGCCAGAAACGTTTTTCTTCCCTATGTTTTATTACATCATTAGAATATGATGAAATGGTATTCAATATCTTATGTAGCATCGGTCCTATATTAAATATGATAAAATTTGTTCATTTATGTCTGTATAGTTGTTTCATCATAGCTAACACCTATCAAGCTCGATAATAACAAGTTGTCACATAAGGGTGAAGAAACATAAAAATAAATAAATGAATAAATAAATAAAAAGTATATTGTCTTTTAAGTACACTTATAAATTAAATAACTTAAAGAGGAAATGAGAATTATTAATGGCATTTTTTTTTGACATTTACACTTATGTTATCAGTAAAAAAGTATGCAATTGTTAGATTACTTTTTTATTCATACTTTTTTATTAGCGGACAAAAAACTTTATTAAGTGATTTATGTCAATAAAAAAGTGAGGATGTTGCTATCGTATGAAAATAAATATAAGAACATTGTAGTTTATGGTTACATATTATTATTACGAGTAGAAAAAATATAAATATTTTGCCATATAAGTATTTTCCTATTATCACTAAAAAATAACATACATTGCACAAATTGATAAGCGAGTGAATTACATTAGGACTTTTCACAATTTGTCTAATATCCGATCAAAAAGTAAGTCATATACTCAAATTACTTGAATTTAATTAACTATAGATTTGTTTTATTTTTATGTAAGTTAGCAATCAAAAATATTGTGAATATGACATTATTATACAATTGATATAGACTAGAGGGAAAGGTAGCATTGATAACCGGAGCAGCGAGTGGTATTGGTGAGTGTTGTGCAAAGCTTTTCGCCACACATGGAGCAAAAGTCATCATCGCAGACGTCCAAGACAAACTTGGTCAAGCGGTCTCTGAGGCAATAGGCTCATCAAACTCAATGTACATCCACTGCGACATCACCAACGAAGAAGAAGTCAAAAACACCATTGATACTGCAGTCGCTACTTACGGAAAACTTGACATCATGTTCAACAACGCAGGAATAGCAGATGCTTTCAAGCCACGCATTATGGACAATGAGAAAAAGGACATTGAACGTGTACTTGGTGTCAATGTCATAGGTACCTTTTTGTGCATGAAACATGCGGCTAGGGTTATGGTTCCACAGAAATCAGGCTCGATTATAACAACATCTAGCCTTACTTCACATCTTGGTGGTATGGCTAGTCATGCTTACTCGTGTTCAAAACACGCGTTAGTTGGTCTAACTAGGAATCTAGCTGTTGAGCTTGCACCATTTGGAATTCGCGTAAATTGTGTTTCGCCTTTTGGAATTGCTACACCGATGACTGCTGATTTCATCGGGCTTGAAAGGGAGGTTTTTGAGAATATGATAAATGGAGTCGCGAACCTTAAGGGTGTGACACATAAACCAGATGATGTTGCATATGCTGCCCTTTATTTGGCTAGTGATGAGGCTAAGTATGTAACTGCACAAAATATGCTTGTTGATGGTGGATTGAGCTATTGTAATAACTCCTTCAACATGTTTAAGTATCCTGAGGAGGCTGCTTAAGTTGAGAAGTTTGGTGTTTTTTTTAATAATTTTAATAAGACAAACATATGTGGTTGTATGGTTCATTATTTATAATTAATAGAGTTTGTAGCCTATGCCATGTTGTTCTACGTTTATTATTTGCCTCATTAAATACTAAAAGTCCTATTATTTTGAGTACATTTATTTTTACATCTATATTTGTAATCAAACACAAATGATTTCGCTTCATGAAATGATCCGCACACAACATTTTTTATCCATACACAACAAATTATGTTTTATATAGTTGTATAGTACAATCATCTAAATCATAAATTGTTGTGTACTGCTAAAAATTATTGTGTACAAATCACTACCAATTTCAAATGGCATAATATTATGTTACACATTAAACGATAAAATAGTCACTCGTGGATGATAATTTTAGAGCGAAATTTTAACGATAAAATGCATCGCATAGTGAATACACCATTGGGATAGAAATCCAAGACGATTAGAAACTAGAAATTGAAGAAGAGGAAGGGGTTGTAATCAACCACATTATGTTGAATTGCATGTAAACCCTTTTTGAAACTTTGATTTTGTTATGATATAAGTGATTGATTATGTGTCTTTTCAGATTTTGATGAATCCCGCGTCCTCAATCGAATTGAAAATTATTTGCGATTTTTGGGTTTTAAAAGATCTAACCATGTTTTTGGATTGGATCATTATATTGAATTGAAAGAAGTGTTTTTTGGGTGGAGAGATAGAGTATAATCTGTAGAAAATTATTTAGCTAGAATTAGGTTTATAGGTTCTTGGGCTAAAACCCAAAGATTTTAGTCAGCCATAAAAAATAAAACATCATATAAATTATGGGAACCCATCTGGCGTTCACAGTTTAAGCCCACAAGCAGGGATATATGAAAAAACTACAACCAATTTTGATTATTATTTTCATGTCTTCTCTAATAAAAAAAAATTGATTTTAATGCTATGGGTCTGCCTTTCAGTCTTATAGCCTGCAACTTTTGGTTTAAACTTAAATTACAGATATACAAAATCTGTCCTGTAAATTAGGAAATCTAAATTCAAAATCATTTATCAATTAAACTAACCGTTTTACCCGTGCCAAGCGACGGGTATATAATATTTTTTTTTTCCAGAAATTAGCTTCTATATGCGATTAGTTTTTTGGCGCAAATAGATTACTACATCTAAACAGCTATAAATAAGAGTAATGCTAGCAAATATTCCTAGCAAATATGAATTAAAATACAGTTTTTATTGCATTTGTATCTATATTACAACGTCAACTCATATAATTAACATATTTACATAATTTTTTTCAAAAGAATATTAGTTTATAAACTTTCGATAAGAGATTGGTAATCTTCTTATGACTTCAAAACCACTTATAAATATTACCATATAATTTATGTCTACAAAAAACTAAATTAAAACAAATAGGTATTTTTAAAGTATTACAAAAAAAAGATAATTAAATGACATACCATTACGAATTACAAACCCCCTCTCAAGCTTAACTTTAACTTTGAAAAAACATTTAATCAAATAATTACATAAGAAACTCCTATCATTATACATTCAACATATACAACTTCAAATACAATGAAAGATCTTTGAACTTGGAATATATCAAACTCATCCAAAAGGGCATGTTAGGCATATTGTATGTAAAAAAATAGTTCCTGCAGGGTCATGTCAAAATACAAAAAACCAATCAAAAATTGATTAAAAAAGAGATAATCCATTAACCCATTATACATACAAAATAGATAAACTTGAGGACACAGATTAAAAAGTCTTGTAACTAAAAATTCTAATTGTTGTTTCTGTTTAATGTAAGCATTACACCTCACATTTACAAAATTAAAAGAATGAAAGTCATTTACTTTCTCATTCTTTGTTTACTTTACTTTCATGTCCATCCCTAGGAATGCTCATATGAATGTTATCAATGATCATTGTTGTTTATGGATTTCAGCTATTTAATCCTTCCTGCTCATTTGTTCGTTATTATCCCATCACCAGTCAGCCAAAGTTCTCATCATCTGTCATCATATGTTTAAGAATACCTAATAAACTTAAAACATAAAAACATCAGGTCTTTAAAAACGAAAGCTTAAACATTTTATCAGTTTATACTTCTGATCTAGAATGTTCACATTTTTTGTACTATTTTTTCACCCCTAAAACTTTTGGCCCAAAATGGTCAACCTGTAATAAATGCTGAATGCTAAATCTATGATTGTAAATCTCAAACTTAAATATTTTGATCTAGAAATAGAGTTAATTTCATGTCACACTATTAGGTATCACTAAAACCTAATTCATCATTGGCTGCAGTCTGATAACATTCAAAATAAAGAGAATCTCAGCATCTAATCTATAAAATGAAATGCCTATATGTATAATTATCATTTATATTGTTGATTGCTTCTTGGAAAACTTTAATGTAAATAATTATAACTGTCAAGAAAATGAAAAAAAAAAAAAAGGTTAGCTTGAAACATTAGCCTTGGGGAGTATACAAGCACAAACAACTACTCACACTAACATAATATCCTACTTTTAGTTTCTTTCCTGTCATAGCAACATACTTTGTCAATATTCATGATTATAGAATAGTTTCAGTTTGTTGGTTGTTATAATAAGGGGAAATGTAAGCACTTTGCTTGTGTCAGTAAAATTTAAAGTGGATTACTATGATTTGGTATTTAAGTAAATACATTACTCATGTTCTTTTTGAACAACTATCAACATTTCTTCTGTTTATGTGAAATGTTATAAGTAATTGGAAGAGAAATGATAGAAAAAATTGTATTAAAAACAAAAGCTATTTCTTTCCACGATGATTTGGATTTCCATATTGGTCCTAATGACTCCTTACAAGGTATGGTTTTCCAGATCATGTGTATCAACAGAAGGCCATGGTAGTAAATATGCATGAAAGCATTTATGAGAATAATCTATATAACATATCTATATTAGCTTCTTGTAAAAGAAAATTGGTTTGGCCCTCTTTTTGGATTAGACTTTTAAAACCTAACCATGGTTCCAGTAAATCTACATAATTTAAAAAATTTTGATGTTACAAACTCAACATTATAAAGAACAAAGATAAGAAAAAAAAAAGCCATGTTTCTTGTACCTTTGGTCTGATGTTTTTTTCACCTTTAAAATAAGAGTACCATTGGGATCAATATCAATCGAGTTAAAGCATTAGGATCAAAGACTTTGAATGGCAGGATACACATAGTTGTGTGTACACTTAATGACCATGAAGAATCCTAATCATGAAGTCAAAAAGTCAAAAGAACAAAAGAAAAAGGTGAACTCATGAATTGACTGCAAAAAAATTATATTGTTACAAAGGGAAGCTACCTTCTAGAATCTTAATGTTCTAACTTTGGTTAACTCGTACGTAACATCAAACCAACACAATTAACCCCCACAACAAAAATAATGGTTTTAAAACCACTTAATAGTAAGCAGATTAGCATGTTCATGAACATTGTATCACAAGCTAATTATACATATAGATATGAATCTCCAAACTGTATGTTCTTCCTAACCATGTTAGAAGATGATTTTTTGATAAAACTCACTGTAGGGATCATGTCCTCGCTATATTCATCCGTCTTTGAGAAAGAAAAGTGAAAACACAATTTTGACCATGTTGGAAGATAATTTTTTGATAAACCCAAACCAAAAATGTACATGAAATTTGTTATACCCAAATAAGCAAATGTTTTCCTATATTAATGCATCATAGATGCTGACAACTTATAAAGAAAATAACTGAAAAAACAAATGCAAGATATAAGGCACAATAATATATGTAAAGATTAGCAGTAAACCCGTCAAAATTTAAAAAAAAAATACAATCAGTAAGTCAATTAATTATCATATTACCAAGTAAATACAAATATATCAACCTGAACAGCGAAGACTAACTTCATTTTTCTTTTCAAGCTTTTCAGGGCCTGTTACGCCTGTCCAAAACTCCAAATTGATGCCTTCCCCTGCATCTACATCTGATATGAAATAAAATGGCGAGAATGTTACTACTTTTTTCATTTAACCTAGAAAGTTACGTACATAAATCTATTTTAAGAGCATAGTGATGGAAATTAGTAGATTTGGAAATCACCTCATTTAATTTTTAGCCTTCACTATAATTAACTAATAACCTAAAATTTTAAGTAAACCAATCTATTTTTTGAGCATAGTATCCGAAAAGAACTCAAATTCAGATACCCAATTTGTCATACATATATAGACATGCCCAATTTCTCATCCAATTAGTTTGTCTAATAATCTGTTTGATTCATTTGAACTGCATAAGACAATCCAAACTTAATTAAGAGCAAAAACCCATAATGTTGATCTATGATCTAAAAGAAAAAAAACATAACGTACACACACAGAGTAGAGAATAGAATACCAAAGAATAATGAGTTTGGAGAAATGGAGGCGGGTCTGTCAGCAAGGTGTGTATGTATGCATAGAGAAGAGGAGTCTAGATGTGGTATCGAGGGAAGAAAGACGATGTATCAAGATTCAGTTGAGCCAGGGTGCGACGGGAATACATAATGCAAGAAACAGTTATACACATTGATAAGGAATAATCAAACAAAGAAAACATATATTGAGATTTACCTTGGTGAGATTAGCATAGAAGAATATGGGATTTTTAGGGTCGGTTAAACGATTCAAGTCACCAGAGTCCGAGCACGGTGGCCGTCGACGCTTAACCACCAGATGGTGGCAGAGATGGGGGTAGCAGAAATTGCGTTGTCCATGACGATAAGTAATGGCGGGGTTAGATAGTAATTTAGGGTAGAGAAGAGAGGCATATATGAATCGTGGTGGGGGTTGGTCGTCGGAAAAATGTTGCGAGGGTAGAGAGATTGTGGAGACGATGGGTGCTATGAGGTTTGATAGTGGATGATGTTTCACTGCTAGTGCGATGGTGGTGCGGGAGAAAAGAGGAGCTCCCGATTAGGGTTTGTGTGTGGATGATATGTAGTGAATAATAAGCATAATATGAGTGTACATAGTGTATTAGGTTTTGTACCTCTTAAGGTTTGGTACGTCTTAAGTTTCAAGAAATGTTAAATATGTTTTATATAATAGTAAAGATTTTAGATTTAACCAAATCTTTAACCAATCCCACAAAATCAGAAAACTCCTCAACTTAATCCAAGTAGATCACGAATCAAATCTTATCCAATGTTGAATCCCAAACATTCAATCCTTTCCTTCATCTTCACCTTTTTTCTCGCAAAGCACTAAACCACCATGCTAATTGCAATTGGTTCTCCATCAGGGTTGCGATGTTGTCTATCTTTATGCTACTGTCGCTTTCATCTGTCCTTACCTCATTGACTTATAACGAAACTTTTCTTCAACGTCCATCGTTCTTGGAATACAACCAAGGTTATGTTTTTGGAAAATTGTATCATTTTCTTTTGATTTTGATTGCCAGTTCTTCAATTTCGAAGATTTATAGAATGATTTATTGTTTTAATGACGACTACGTTTAAGGGGCTTTTGTCAACATCTTTTTGTTAAGTTTTAATAGGTTTGGATACTCATCAAGGATCGACAATTTCATTCATCATAATTGTCTCAATACTCCCTACAATATTTTATTTCCTGTTTATGTTGATGTTGAAGATTTACGGTATGTGTTGTGTATTTACATGCTTTTGATTTTATATTTTATTATGTTTTTTAATGCCAAAAGGGTATAGTTGAGATTCTGAAATAGTGTCCATTCAGACATTACCATTTAAGGTCTGTTAAATTTTTTTGATGAGTTTTCTATATGTTTATGTTTTATAAAAGACTACCCATTTCATATGTTCTCTAATTTGTGGTTGGAATTCATGGATGTAGTCCTCAATGAAAGTCCTTATAGGTTCTTTTATCTAAAAAGAAAACATCTAATTAGATATATAATATTGTCATTAGCTATAAAATACTATGATATTCTAAATCAAGGAAGTTACTTAAACGGAGTAAAGGGGCATCTTCATCATCCGATTCGCATGATTCGCAGGATACTCATGGAAAAACGTCGCCCTCTCCATAAACTTGTTGGTGATCTCGGTCACCGACTCAGTAGTCCCCTTGAGAGACAGTAACTTCTGTTTAGTCGCTCAATCTCTTCCACAGGAACATCTTACACCCTGAAACGCATCCTAAACACCTCCTAAGTCATAAGCTCTAGCTCGGTTGTAGAAATGGACTAACGCATCCTAAACTCCTCCTATGTCATGACTCTAGCTCGGTTGTAGAAATGGACTGAACAATCCAACCCCACCAATCCTTCGCCACATGGCGTAACAGGTTCACAACGAAACTCACCTATGCCTCCTCAGGGAAAATCGTTGTGAAAGTGAAACAACTCAAAATCCGACCCAAATTTTTTTGTTTAAATAATAATAAAACCATAACATCGAATGACATAAACTAAAAATCATACGTTAATATCTCAAAACCATAATTAAGTATCGTGATAAAAACTATATCATACTATGTCAAGTCATATCTAGGAAAAACTAAACCAACTTCCAGGATAAAAATGAAGTCATGGCGTGTGCCATGCCATCATCCTGAGCCCTTCTCTTTGCTTACGGAAGTACCTGAAACCAAAACTGAAACTATAAGCACAAAGCTTAGTGAGCTCCCCCAGACTACCACATACCATACAATCATATAAACACATATTGGGCCTTGCCCACTGTATCAGACCGAAGTCCGGAAACTTCCTCGGACAGAAGTCTGGAACTAACCAGGGCCCTGCCCTCTGCATCGGACCGAAGTCCGGAAACTACATCAGACCAAAGTCCGGAACTGGCTGGGACCTTGTCCCCTGCATCGGACCAAAGTCCGGAATTAACTGCATCGGATCGAGATCTGAAACTGACTGGGACCTTATCCCCGATATCGGACCGAAGTCCGGAAACTGACTGAGCATAACATAGCATAGCATAAACATATCAACTAACATAAACACATATACTGCACACTGCATCGGACAGAAGTCCGGAACACATAACACAAAGATATGCTTGAATCACAAAGACATCAAGCATACTGAACTACCGCATCAGAACAAAGTCCGGAACTGACTGCTAACTAGATGGGCTAGCATTATGGTCGTAGACCCTTTCCTACTGGAAGGAAAACTCACCTCGAAAGCTGGCTACTAAAATTCTACCCGGGAACTATCTGCTGCTGCTCCGGTCTCTCCCGGCTACAACTCCCATAAACACACTCAATCAACTACTGATAACTATACTGAGGGTAAAATGACTATTTTACCCTTGGTCAAAGTCAACTTCCAGTTGACCGGACTCGCCGAGTCAGGGCACAGACTCGTCGAGTCTCTCCTTTACTAATTCTGACTTTAACTCACCGAGCCCCTTTTCCACTCACTGATCCACTCTGAACTCACAACTCGAAGGGAAAATGGGGACTCACGACTCGACTCGTCGAGTCCAAAGAAAACCTCGCCGAGTCCAAACGCAAATTCCATGCAATCGAATTCTAATCCATTCCAGGGCCTCTAACTCGTAGATCTGAGCCCTTGGGACCAACTGAACACGTAAAGTTGTTGACTTTACGTGTAACTATGAAGGAATGAAGCCATTTCACTCAAACCTTACTTTTCTCGGGAAAACTCATACGAATCGCCGAGTTGTAGAACAAACCGTCGATTCTAAGGCAAATTTCATCGGACTCGTCGAGTTGCTCATCCAACTCGTCGAGTCCAAGGCTATCTTTATATCAGTCACCGAGTCAAGCTTGTGAATCGCCAAGTCCATTTAGTCCCTTTTCCATACAGGCCTGATTTGAGCCATGCAGTGGCTCTAAGTCACAGATCTATGCTTCTAGGGCATGCTTATCACGTAAAGTTGCAAACTTTACGTGTAAGCATGGCTTTAAAGGCTTCAAATGCCAACCCTAAGTTCTTAGTGGGGTTCCAAGCTCAAAAGGGACTTCAATCACGACCTTAACTAAAACTTTACACTTCTAGAATACAATAAGAGTCCAGATCTGAAGTTTTCATCCAAGGAGAGTCCATATCTCAAGTTTTCATCCAAGGAGAGTCAATATCTCAAGTTTTAAATCATAAAAGGCTCCAAAGAAGGCATAACAAGCATAAAGGAGGTTATAATGGAGGAATGCACAAGGTCATAACTTCATTACCTGAATGAAGAACAGATGTAAGCTAACTCCCGAATCTTCCTTCCCCTCAATGGATCTTCTTTCCTTTCCAAAGCTTCCAAGCTATCACAAACACACTCAAACTCAACAATGGCGCTAGGGTTTACAGGGGAAATGTTTTGAGAGTGATAGAGGTGAGGTTGGGGGCACATAAGTGTGTTTAAATAGGGTGAAAACCCTGAAAATTAGGGCTCCATCCAGACAGGAAGACTCGTTGATTCCAGCGTATGGACTCGTCGAGTATCCAGCTCAAAATACGTGATCGTCCCGCCTCTACTCAACGAGTCGGGCTACAGACTCGTCGATTACCCCTTCAGAAATGAAAATACTTTATTTGAATTACATACCAGAAATGGGGTGTTACAACTCTCCCCTACTTATCTTAGACTCTGTCCTCGAAGTCTGTTGCTGCTGCTGAAAATAACTATGGGTAATGCTCCCTCATCTCCCCCTCGGATTCCCATGTCCACTCTGAACCCTTTCGGTGTTGCCACTGCACCTTCACTAGCTGAACCACCTTGTTCCTCAAGGTCTTCGTCTTTTGATCTAAAATCGTAACTGGTCTCTCGATATAATTCAGGATGCTATCAAGCTGAATATCCTCCTAGGGTACAACTGCTGACTCATCCACCAAACACTTTTGCAACTTAGAAACATGGAAAGTGTTTTGGATCTGGCTAAGCTCTGCCGGAAGATCCAACCGATAAGCAACCCAACCCACCCGGGGCAAAACCCTGAAAGGGCCAATGAACCTGGGACCCAACTTCCCCCTTTTCCGAAACCTGATAACAACCTTCCAGGGTGATACCTTCAGGAGGACCATATCTTCCACCTGAAACTCTAAGTCCGAACGTCTCCTGTCGGCGTAACTCTTTTTCCTACTCTACACAGTCTGCAGTCTGCTACGAACCTGCTGGATCAACTCTGTAGTCTTGAGCACCACTTCAGTGCTCCCAATGACTCGCTGACCGACCTCGCCCCAACAAATCGGGTCCTGCACTTCCTTCCGTATAGCATCTCGAAAGGAGGACGTTCATTGCTAGCGTGGTAACTGTTGTTATACGAAAATTCCGCTAGTGGAAGATATGTATCCCAACTAACCCCGAAATCTAGAACACATGCTCAGAGCATGTCCTCGAGAGTCTGGATCATCCTCTCGCTCTGCCCGTCCGTCTGAGGGTGGAAAGCGGTGCTAATATGAAGACGAGTCCCCATCTCGTCATGAAAATGCTTCCAAAATCTGGAAGTAAAACAGACGTCTCGGTCTGACACTATCGATACAGGCACTCCATGTCGCGCCACAACCTCTCGTACATAAATATCGGCTAGCTTCTCTGCCGATATGCTCTACTGGATCGGTAAAAAATGAGCACTCTTTGTCAACCGATCCATAATAACCCAAATCGAATCCACTCCATGTGTGGTCCTGGGAATCTTAGTGATAAAATCCATGGTTATATCCTCCCATTTCCACACTGGAATATCTAATGAATTGTAACGCCCGTGTTTCTAGGCTTGCCATTTTTAGCAATGTAATAGTCTAGGTTAACCTTGTAACTCAACTTGAAATAATAAGAATGTATTATTTGTGAATTATTTGAATTATGTGATTTATGTG